TATCAGTGCAATAACAAATTTGCGTCGTTTCGGAGTTATGATAGGACGACGAAAGGGCGAAACAACTCCAGTGTACCTATCCAATGTAATAACAACGATGCTTTGTATCGAGACTGCAGTGGAAATGTCTTGGAAGGAGTAAAAAACTTTGCAAAGGACTGCACCAGCCAGACCATCGATCAACCATGTGCGGTGACCGATAAAGACTTCAGCAATTTCTCTCGGTATTGCAAATGTAGAAAGCAGTAGATCTGACACGGCCATGTTTGCGATTAAGTAGTTCGTTGTGGTTCGCGTATGCCTGTTTTTCGCAACAACAGCGATAACCGCCGCGTTTCCAATAAGTGAAAGCAACATGATCAAGGTGTAACATGCTGCCTTGATAGCCATTGTAGAGTTGGGATCTTTCTTGGTGAAAGGATTACATTCGGCTTCACTTTCGTTAGACAGTGTTAGATTTTCTAACGACCCATTCATCTTCTTTACTCAGATATCGAAAATTACGCACGCAAGGGTATTGTCCGTTAGCCAAGCGCGTAACACTTGATGACACATACAACTAGCACAGGAAGTGCCTGTTGGAATAATTTACCAATCCACGTGTGTAGAAATGATTGATATTGATAGAGTTCCTGTTGGATGCAACACTTTCCCTCCTAATCACGTAAATCGTGATGTTTAATGTAACCGTGTATCTTTAAGTAACCATGCAACTTTCCATTTTTTCCTTGGAATTTTCAATAGCCTGGTAACCAAAGTGAATATTCTATTTTAAGTTTTTCCTTTAGGCAGAAATCTCTCTCGTGACCGCAGTTGCTGTTGGAAATTGCTATTTCGGTATTCTGGTTGAGAAATTGTTTCCTCCCTTTATTATCAGCAGTCCATCTGATTATCAAAGAGCTTTTTAGTTCCATGTCATCGCTGCCTTGACCCGATACGGCTTTAATTAATGTAATTTTAAAGATGAGAGCGGACGCTAATTTAATTCAGGTAACGGAAGCTAAAAGGTCATGCATCCAGGTTTGTGGGGGGGGGGGNCTTTGATAAACGCATTTTGGCTGTGATGAACAAGGAAGGGTAAAATTGATTCCAACCTCATAGCCATTGCTTTAGATGCAATTTTGACATCCATGTTTATCAGCGAGATTGGACGCCAGTGATATTAAGTCGCAAAGATTTAAATTGTAAACCACCATCTTCAACTTTTAAAACACAGTTTATTCACCTTATCTTCTACTAGAATATCCTACAGTTTGAAAATGTCTCCAGACATTTTTTTTTTTTTTTCACTTTAAAACTTTGAAAATGAGCAACTTCTTTGAAAATGAAAACTTGTAGACACAAGATGGTAAAACACGAGGCATGAACATTGTTTGCAGCATAAATTATGCGTAAATTGTCACCTGCCTGTGGCGTCCGTCAAGCTCTAAGAATGTCGTTTGCGGTAAACGGGAAAATTGCCACCGATTTTACTTTCATTGTCTTTGATTCCTCACCCAATCCTACACAAAATGTAAAAAGTCTCTTGTTCAAAATTAATTCAACGCAATAAGACACTCAAATGTACAAGCGAAAAGGCAGACTACAAAATGCCATATTCGCCGTTTTGCGGTAAAGCCCATTGTTAGTCTATTCATCTAATCAAATATCGAGTTTTGGCTCGAATCACATTTTAAATATTGAATACCTCCTCTGGAGATCATCCAGAACGATGATGAAGCAGTGGCCCAAGGGTTCGAGCCCTGACCGTGGTCGTTGCGATGTGTTCTCGAGCCAGACGCTCTACTCGCGCAGTGGCTCGTTACATCTAGGTATGTAAATGGCTACCTGCGTATTTCAATAGGCAATAGGGACTTTAAGCAAAGACAACGCGGACGGCGACGGGAACGCCATAAGATCAGGGAAAAGCCAAAAGGTCCACTGCGCATGACTGGCGGGAAACA